CCGCTACCCGCGGAAGGTGACTGCCGCCATGGGCAAGAAGAAGATCGCAAAGAGGTCCAAGATCAAGTCCTTCGTGAAGGTTTACAACTACAACCACCTGATGCCCACCCGGTGAGTGTGGCTGGCCGAGTGCCACCAGCGGGGCTGCAGCCCCAAGTCGGTCTCGGCTGCTTTCAATGATCACAGTTTTCGAGAGTTCTCTCTAGTGAGTGCTGGGAGTCACTGAGGTTCTTAATTACGTGGCTGATGGAACACGGGGCGTACGCTCTGCGAAAACAGGGACTTGAGGGGAGATGTTAGCGAACTTCTGAAATAAGGCAGCCAGCTCTTACTTCAGCCACACTCACTTTCCTCTCGATCACGGGGTGTCAGCAGATGAGCCTTTGAAACAACCGTGAGGGTCTGGGGGTGCTGGCAGAGCTGTTGCGGCCCAGTGGCGTTTCTTCCTGTCCCCTTGGCGCTGCTGCAGGCTGCCAAACACAACACGCTGGATAGAGCTGCTTCTCTTGCAAAGCGTGTAGCTGTTTCCGTTACAGGCTGAATTAAATGGTTTTGGATGCTGTGGTGATTTCCAGAATTGAGAAGGCTTTAAGAGCTGTAGTCCCTTAACCCGGCACTAGTACGTGTGTTTGACCGGTTCGGGCTGCCCGCTGCGTTTTCACCCTTGTGCCAGGTACCGTGACTGTTTCAAACCTTGCTGCTCTCCTGCCCAGGTATTCCGTCGATATTCCGCTGGACAAAACAGTGGTCAATAAGGACGTGTTCAGGGACCCCGCTCTAAAACGCAAAGCGAGACGTGAAGCCAAGGTGAAATTTGAGGAAAGGTGAGTTGGAAGCTCGTCTCTTCAGTGGTGTCGGCACCCGTCCCCACGGGTGCGAGGACTCGGCATGGTTGTGCCGCAACCTGTGTGAGTCCCAGGTTGGACACTTCTGCACCAACTTTTTTGAATACATTTTTGGTTGAGTGCATTCCTCCTCGCCTTCTGTGCGTGTTTAGGCAACTCTCTCTTCAGAGAGTTGGTGGGTTGCGATGGGGAACAGTTTACCAACAGCCGTAGACTCAGGCTGACGTTTATGACGATGCTGCAGCCTCATGCCAGCACGAGCGGGGCCTCTTCAGTGCCAGATGACGATCTCTTGGCATCTCACTGCCAGTTCCCTCGCTGTCTGTCACTGGGTTTAGTGGGACAGGGCAGCGCTGACGCTTTGCCCAGGAGGGTTCAGGTTAATGGTTCTCCTCTTCGGTTTTCTGTTTAGAAACTCCTTCAGCGGAAGGAGCTGTGTGGCCCCAGCGGGACGCAGGGTGTCTCGCAGGCAGCCCGGGGCCTTGGCTGTTGTAAAGCGCACTGCCCGTGATCGCCAGCCCTTCTCCAAGGGCGGCTCCCCACGGCCGCCCTCCGCGTGGGGAGTCTGGTGGGACTGCCACGTGCTGCGCTCCTACCTCTTGGGGTGGAAGCCACCGTAGTGCGGGTATCCTTCACGAGATGGCTCCATGAGAAAATCTGGAAGCTGGCATTTGTTTCCCTTGGCAGTTTAAACATTTAAAGTGGGTCTAGTTGCAGCCCGGGCTGAAGAGACCAGGTGAATTACCTCTGGGTCAGCCGGGCGCCATGTCCTGCCCGTGGGAGGGTACGGACGGCTCTGGCGCAGGTCTCATGCTGTTGCCTGCTGGTACGGGGTGTTCTCTAACCTTTGCGTTCCTCTTCCAGATACAAGACTGGCAAGAATAAGTGGTTCTTCCAGAAGCTGCGATTCTAAAAGCGTAAGGAGGTTGCATCAATAAATGTTTATTAAAAACCATTTTGTTTTGTTGTATAAAAAAAAGCATTGCGAGGCCTTTTTCTCTGTGGTGTGGCCATTGTTGCTTTGTGTGTCTCTAAGAGCTGGGAAAGCCATCGTGATCCAGGCCAGCTTTGGGGCCTCTGTGGAGCGCTGTCCTGTGGTGAAGGCGCCGTCTGCCTGAGGACGTCCTCGGGCCGCTCCGCTCGGCGGCGGGGCACAGGCTGCTCTTTCCCCTTCCCACTGCCCAGGGTGGTGGGTGTCATTCCTGCCCCTGCTGGAAAGCTCCAGTTCCCAAACCTGCGGTGATCCCTGGGAGAACAGGGGTGGGAGCGGGAAGGTGAATGGGTAATTCCAGACGTCTGCTTCGCTCGTCTCTTCTGTGGCCGAGAAATGCAGTGATGCGGGGGTGACTCGTGCAGTGATCGTACCAGTCGAGCGTTACTTTTCGGTTACCTTCGCAAACGTTCTTTATCGCGGAAGGGGCCATCCTGCGGCCGGGGGGTTAGGGCCCTCAATCGCA